TAATCAGCATGATTCATAATGAAAGACTGAATGTTGTCACCGCTATGGCTAATCTAGAGAGAGACCTGCTGATTCGAAGAAACCTGAAAGGCCTGATGTAGGCACAGTTGGCAAGTGTTGAAAGTCAGTCAAGCTCTTTTTTATGCAGTTAGTGTCACAGCTTCGCGTAGAGTTCCAGGGGTTGTAACCCAGTTAATATACTACTTTAAGGTCACAATAAGCCATTAAAGCACCAGAGGCGATAAGTTGTTTTGTATTATTTTAAGTCTCACTAGATGCAAAGAATACGTTTTACTTGAATTTTTATTTTTTTGTATTTTATCTTGTGACCACGGTGGTTTGGATTGGATTATTTATGGCAAAGCACACGAGGGCTATCTGCCTCAAGGGAGGGATGCCTTCGTGGAGGAATTTCTAAGGGAAACTTGCTTGTATACACATTACACATGGGAAAAACCACAAAAACACCCATCCAGCCAGCTCGTTCTTGGGATTCGAACCTCGGACCGAACTACCAGTGTTCAGTGTCTTTACCGCTTGGCTGCTGGTGGGCCTGACCACAGTGAGTATTAATGAAAGGCAATAACTCGCTTTAACATGTAGAGAAAATTTTTAAGCATAAACAGTTAGTTATCAATAAATAAATTAGGTAGGTTAATAACCTTAGTCATTATGGATTTACATGGTCACTATTAAATTTTATTTTTTAACAATATTTGTTAAAAAAAGCCCTATCAAAATCTAATAAAATTTCACAGTTTAAAATACATGTAATTTATGACATTGATTCTTAAATGATATTAGTATAATTACACATTAAAAGCTACAAAACATTTATGTTTTGTAACAACAACACTCAACAAAATATTTATCTGTCATTTTAATTTGAAGCCTTCCCAGATATTTTGGCTGGTTTACATCAATTTCCTTCTCTTTAAGCATCTTTTCGGACAATTAGAGATTTGTCTCAATATGCAAAAAACAATGCTCTTGCTAGTTTCTGCGTGCTTTATCTCCTAACTTGCCAACCTCTCCACAATGTACCTATGAGGGTTTATTGATCTGGTAAAAGTTACATAATCCAAACCCTCGACAGACATAAAAGCATATTATCGCTAGTCTGAAGAACTGCAATATCAGACAAAGGTTTAAATAGCCTCTTATTTAAAAGAACTTAAAACATAAAGGCATGTTCTGATGCTAACAAAATCAATTACAGCTCACGGTGATATAATTAAACAAGAACAATCAAATTCAAACTAAAAATGTGGACTAGTGGTCAAAGATTACACAATTTAGTTTTAATTTAACCCTCTAAGCGGCAAGCCCATATATATATGGCCTAGAATATTTTTTGTGATATCTGTAAGAATGTATATCTACGTCCATATTAAAATATGTCAAAGAAATTGAGGCAATACAGTCAAAAGTCTTTAATCTGGACTCGTCAGGACTTCGGCGATTCCGGATTATCGATTTTTCCGGATTACAGATCATCAGTTAAAATCTGGTAAGATGGCATGCAGAAATTATCAAATTGAAAATATGAAACCATAATTTATGAAATAAAGAGCAATTATCATTGAAAGGTTACCAAAATTTACAAAAAAAAAAAAAGCTTAATATTTATTTGTTCACTTTATTAAACATTTCTTTCAACGAGTGCATGCATAAAGCGTACATTACGCATAGTCGAAATTAGAAAATTGCAATCAGAAAACTATTTGATTTGTATTCGTGATATTTATAATGATGAGGAATTTGATTTAAATCATATCAAAGCCGGAGTACATCGAGATGAAATACTGCATTTAGTAAGGAATTATAAGCCGAATAAAATAAAAACATCTGCTCTGAAGATAAGGATAGTGCTGACAGATCAACTTCCAGTTCATTGCGCGCCGCAACATCCCCCCCCCCACGCACAGAGCAGAGAGAAATTGATAAACAGATTTCGGAATAGTTAGAGAAACAAAGGAGCCTTTATCCATTTTTTGCAGCAATTCCACTTTTTGTTTGATGGACATCAAAATATGCTTTCCCTTTGTAGATCCAGCATTGGAAATTCTATTTGACATAAACGAAAGTTCCAACTGACTTTTATAAAATTGCTCTAAGAGTCTGCAAAAAATAATAAGCCGGATCCATTTCGAAGATTAAGGAACAACGCAATCTGCAACATTAACTGAAATAGATAATTAGATAATTTTAGCTTAGCTTATACCATCCATTATACATTAAACGCGCATGCGTACACGCATATGCGCATGTGTAAAGGCTTTTTGTGCATGCATCATTGCGACGCAGTAAAGGTTTGTAGCTTTGAGGTCCGGATTATAGATCATTCCGGATTAACGACTTTTGACTGTATATCAAAAGTACACAAATCCAGGTATGTAATACCAGGAGAATTTTTCAAATCAAAAACATAATTTGTTCTCATAGTAGTTTTGGGAAATTTGTGCTTTCTTAGCAAAAACCCTGACCACTCAGAGGGTTGGCTCAGTAACTCTATCATATTAGGAAATAGAAATGGGAAATTATAGTAAAGGCTGAAATCATAAATAATTGAGTAATTTATATAATAATAACTGCACATATCTTTGAGGAATAATTTTCTTTATGTATTTAGTTTCCTTCTTACACACATTTCCTTTTCATTTTAGAATTTTTTATTTAATTTAGGATTTTTGTTATTCTAAAAAACACTAAATGCATTTAGAATGTACAGAAAAAAAGAGGCTAATTTTATTTCTTTAGTAATAAGAATATTCAGAAGAAATATCAAATATATATGGTAAAGGCCAGTTACAGAGCTGATGTGGCAGAATTTTTAGAATTGAATGACATACTGAACAACAAAATCTATAAATGGCAAAACTTTTAGAACTTAGAGCTGGCATTGGATGCATTTAGAAAGGCACTAGGCAACAGAATTTAGGATCCACAGAGATTGCATCAAGTGGGAAAATGTTTAGTGCCAGCTATGAGTATGATGCATTAAAACATATTAGATTAATCTTTTAAATTGTAAGTTTCCAATTTCTTCATTAATAAAAAAATCCCTTTCTATAATGCCTGCCCATGTGATAAGATTACAAGCATTTTTAATATTTTCCATGCTTGTGTCTAGTGAAAGTAGAGAAAATAAAGGGAAGATAAACATGTTAGATTCTAGGCAGAATAAACATTCAATATTATCTTTCATTGTTCTTCTAGATGTTCTCCAAAAAGTAGAAATCTTGCAAACTTTCTGTAAAATACTCAATTATGTTGTACCATGGAAAAATTTCATTTTGTCACATATTTCTCGAATCTTCTAGAAACCGTGGCTCTAGAAATCTTGCCTTCAAATCTTTCTAAACTTTCCAAGCTGCAATGTCTAAAAACCTAAAAAAAAAATTATCCTACCAATTTTGTAACAGCAAAAGGCCAGAATAATGTTTGGAAAAACAAAGGGGATGGAAAAAGTGTAAAATTAATTTTATAGAGAAAAGCCGATGCTATTCTAAAATCAAAATACTACGGGCACAAACATGGGTAAAAAACTCTCTATTGAAAAAATTAAGAAACATTTTATTAATTACATAGCTAATTTTGCTTTTGCTAAGAGCTGTTTCAGAAATGTGGCTTTATAGTATTATACTTTGTTATTTTCAGATTCAAAAATATGTATAATAAGTGCCAAACTGAACTTTATAATATGACAGCCGAAAATAAAAATGTTTTTTATGTATTTTTTAAATATACTTTCAATATATTACCATTATTTTAATGAAATTTCTCATGTTACATGTTTTAAAAAAAAAAAACGGCGAAAAAATTTCCAGATCTCGAAATTAAAATTTTCTTAGAAGTGGTCTAAAATCGCCAAAATTGATAAGTCGCCAATTTAGAACCGTTTAATAAAGAATTCACACACCCAAAGCGAAAGTGTTTAGGGCTCTTTATTAAAAAAAAAAAAAAAAAAAAACGAATTTGCTATGCTATTTTCACTTCTTGCTTAGAACCTTGAGTTCACTCTTATATTGGAACCCGTGAACCCATTCAAAAGATATGTCAGTGAATTGCCAAAAATATTCCTCCAAAATGCTAATTCACACTCAAAATGGCAGTTGTAAAAATAGAAATTTCAGATGATTAAAATTAAGGACCATCTGCTGATTTTGGCCAAAATTAAGGACCAAAAATAGATTCAAAAAAATCTAAGGACTTTTAAGGGCTCTTAAGGACTGTACGAACCCTGAGGGAGCATCTGCAAAATGTTCACTGCCTTTCCTTGTAAACAAGCTGCCATATTTAATCTTCTGATGACACAGTCCTACTGATTTGCCTAAAAAATCATTTGAAATTGTGTTTTATACATGATTCATTATCACTTCCTGTCATATGGCGAGAGCTAAATTCTGAGATGAAATTTAACGAGAATGTTACTCAAAGCAAGATAAGCTGGAACATTCAAAATAGATAATCTGACACACTGTTTACGGATGAAACCAGTTCTAAAATTTTTTGTTCTACACAAAAGATCTCTTCTCAAGTCTTGTTCAGACCTGAAATTTTTTCAGAAAGGATTTTATATTTTTAATTTCTTTGTTTACAATTCCTAGCATTTTCGATTTTGCCTTCTAAACTCTTCTTCAAAGGTGGCTATTTTCATATTCATAGCACCGAGAATTTTTCTTTCAATAGTGGCAATATTCTCCTTCATTTCATTGAGGACTGATAAGTGCTCAATGAAATGAAGGAGCTTTCATTGAGGACTGATTGATACTTTATTTCTGGTGCTTCCTTCCTCATCTCAGCAGCATTTACTTCATTTTCACGGCATTTGCTTCTATCCAGATTTTCATGCCTGCTGCTTCCCTCTTCATGTCAGTGGCATTTCTGTCGATGGAGTTCTTTCCTTCTGCAGCTTCCTTCCTTATCTCAGCAGCTCCTTCACATCTCACTGGCTTTTAATCATGTCAAATAATAGCTTTCAGCTGTTCTTCCATCGTCATGGTTATCAGCATTTAAAAAAAAAAAAAATCTGACAAAATATTTGTTGCAAATGATTGATATTTCTTTAAATAATAAGTCCAGATAAGTAGGAAGAAATGAATAATTAGGAAAATAAGCACAATCAATAGCACACACAGCACAATAGCAGCTGGAAGGAGAACATGGATATTTATCCTCCATAACACATCAAATAAATCATAAAGTCTCTCAAATCACTCTCAGTGTAAACACTAACTTGTAATTCAGCTAACTGCTAAATCTCACAGCTGATTCACAACTAACTTCCTAGCTCTTTGAACCGCATTTATACGTTGCCGGAACATCAGAAAAAACTGGTTGTATAGCTTTGAAAATGGGCTCTTGTGAAAAGTTGGCGAAAAATTGCCAAATATCACCAAGTTCTTTAGGAACAAAATCGCATGCATCTGGCCTCCTAACTGATCCATTTTTACAATTACAAAGCCACTGAACTCAGAATTAAAAGATATACAATGCTATGCAAGAAATAAACACTTAAATACAAGATATGTGGCCACAAAATTAACACAAAATAATCTATGAAATTATTACTCCAAAAACAATAACTAAAAATACTACACTACAGAAAAACAAAAATACAATAAAAAGATTACAGTATTAACCAATACATTGAAGAATAAATGTGTATCTGAACAACAGACTCCAAACTAATAAAAATTGCACCACCAAAAACAATGTATGGTATCATAGTTATAGAAACTCCGATTTAAAATCTAAATTATAAAAAACTAAGCATTATTTAAGAAGTTGAGATATGGTATGAACTAACTGTCTCATAAAAAGTCAGAACAAACATATTTAAATACAATAAATTGTATAAATCTTAATACCAGAAGTATTAAATTAAAAAATAGTTTATAGTAAAGTGTGTATGACAAAATTGCTCTAACAGCTTTTATAAATGTTTAATATTTAACACCGAGAATTATATGGCACAATTTAATAACTAAGCTTAATACTTAAATTTTCTGCATAAAAAATTAGTTCATTCATGTAGTGGTAAAATACTGTTAAAACAAATTGCTCATATGATAATTTGGTACTTTTCCGTTTCGCTGGAGCAAACCTCGCCATTTCTCTTTTGCCGGTGAAATCTCGCCAAGCAGACTTTATTGGTGACAACACACAGTATACACATAAAAAATGTTAACAAATGTTAGTTCTAAGATTTTTTTTTTTTTTTAAAGGCATAAATATTTTAATATAGTTTAAAATTTTTTCAAATGGATCTTTTGTGTTCTTTCGCCACATAAATTCGGCGAGGTAACTTTTCAGATGGTGACGTGCCATTCCTCTGTGTTTCTTATTCCGCCATTTGGCGCTACCCCATAGTTTTTCTATTTTTTGTGTGTGTGTTCCAGTTTCCGGATCTACAAAATTGTATTTATGGTTCACTTTGAAATGTTCGAAACTTTCCTCTTCCAGGTTTTCAGTGCAATATGATTTCCATGAATCAGAATATATCATAGTTCCTTTTTCGATATTTTCCTTTATTGCCTCTAATATAATAGTCATGGATCGGTTTGGCACCTTCACAAGGAAACATTCGTTTGTTTCACGACAAACTCCACCAAAGATCCATTGTTGTGGTAAAATCCATCCCGCATTCTTTTTGCGCTTCGTGAAAATACTTTCATCCATTTCAGTATTGTTGACGTAAGTAAAGAATCCACACAAACCTCTCGCATATAGTTATTCCAATCTACAACTGTTCCATAACAAATTTCCAACTGATTTCATACTATTTTCTTCACTCCAACCATAAATAAATATTACAAACTTCAAGAAACTCAAACTCGATGATTCAAACCATATGTCTTTCCGTATATTTCTTTTACTGCGACAAGTTCAAAGGTTGCACGCCATTGAATTTCGTCTCCGAAATATAATTTCATTTCATGACTATTATCACAAATAGCAGTGTTAGGCAAAACATCTTTTGCTTGAAAGAATCTGACATTCTTCCTCTGTCCTGGGCAATCTCAAATTTTCATTCATTTTTCATCCATTTTTAACATAATTGTAAAAAGATGTTAATTTAAGAATTTACTATGCTTTCATGGTACAACATCTTGATTCGCCGTTTCACATCACATGATCCCAAATGATTTCATCTCACGTAAACTACGCTACAAAAATCTGATTCTCGCAGTAATTATCTATATTAATTTAAAGTTAAATCTTAGTATGGAATATGAGTTTAAACGCAAGAATTATTTCAATTTTATTATTAAAAAAATTCTATGTAACTGTATGCCAATACTGAAAGAAACGATCAATCTGATAAGAAATAGCAGGGACTTGTTTTGAAAATGTGACGTGAAACGTTATCAGCGAGGATATTCGGTTTGCCATCGGTTGTAACATTTTTGGTGACTCTATCGCTTGCAGCGGCGAATCTGAAAATTGCGGCAGCCAAACGGAAAAATACCGATAATTTTTTATTGTACATAAAAATGATAACAGTAAATGAACTTAAAATGAAAGCAAAAGCAAATACTGGGCTTTATAAATTATTTCAATTAGCAAAAAAATAATGGCTTACTTACAATTATGATTATTTTCATTCATAAAAATTCATTCTACTTACCATCAGAATATAATTTCAGTGAATCGCAGGTATTAATATTGAGGCAGATGTTAGTTAATGTAGTTTCACAATAGCGGGCCAAAGTCTCACTAGAAAAATATAAATAGGTTGCAAAATCTTAAAATAGCCAAGCAAATAACCTACAAATAAACAAGTGCAAATACTAAAGCACAGCTTATATTTTATAAATTAAAAGACTTATTATTGAACAAAAATGCAAAATATTTAATGCAACTGAAATATTGACCATTTACTATGATGGCTATTTATTTAAACGAACTAAAATTTTACACATATAATAGCAATTATACATACAGATTATTATAGCCTGAAACAATCTCTACTGTTAGTTCTTTCTTTTAAAAAATCTTAGAACTCTCGTAGTGTCTGCGTGAGGTCATCCCACATGAGGGAAAATTATCTGTACCAAAATTATATACAAAATATATTTTATTGTTAACTCAGTGTGTGTTCTATTATTTAGATTTGTACCTTCACTTCTCCTTCTTTATCCTCCTTTTCATCACCAAGATTCAAACGGGGTATGGTATTGAAGGGGAGTGTTTTGAAAGTTTTAGATATAAGGCTTTTGGTAGTGATGCTCACAGCTTTACTTTCCCTTCCCCAGCTCTGCAAGTTAGTATTCTGGCAGTAACCATTTTGCTAAACAAAATTAAATCACACAATTAAAGTTTTAAGCCAATCTATGTCCCAGGCTTAAGTTCAAGGTACTTGGTCAAACCTTGCCAACACAGATGGCCATGCTGCTCCATAGTTGGTGAAACCATTTAGTCCTAATTAATGCCCTGTAGATTTGGAGCTTAGCTATCTGCACCCCAAGAAGTACTGGAAAGAAATTTAAAGTTCTGTTTTAAACTTTTTTTTTCCCCCTTTAAACAAATGCGAGGTGGAAAAGTTAACCTCCTATCAAATATAAGGCCAAGAAATTTTACCTCCGATAAAACCAGGATCAAGCAGCTCTCCAGATGGAGCTCTACACCAGGATATATGTTTCTCTTATGACAAGAATGAAGACAAATGGTCTTCTGGTTAGAAAATTTAAATACTTCACTATTTATCCAATTAACAATCCTGTTCAAGACAATTTGGAATTGCCTTTCTATGCAGTGCATTGGCAGCTTATCCGAAGATCATCAACAAATAGAGCTCCATTTACTATTGGGGGGAGATGGAGTTCCTTTAAAATGGAATTCATTGTGAGGCTTAAGCACAGCAATCAGCACACATCCTTGTAGCACACTTCTTGAATGAAATTATCAGAGAATTTAACATTACTTTGAATGCTGTTCCTGAAAACGTTCTGCATGAAAACTGGTAGGTTCCAGTGCAGGTGGCTACCATACAAGTCTCGAAGTATGCCATACCTCCAAATCTTATTGTTAAGTTTTTCTCTGTAACACAAAAGACGAAAACTATGCAGTTTCTTTCCCAAAGATATTTCAAATAGCTGTCTAAAAGCAAGATGTTGTTGATACTAGATCAAACTCTTCAGAATCTGCTATGGTAGTGAGAAATGAGAATATTTTGCTCCAGGTGATACACAAGGTGACATTTTTTTTTTCAACAACTCTGCAAAAGGCAGCTGATAAGTGTGAATGGACGATAGTTGATGGGATTTCTCTAATCCTTAGCATTGCTTTAAAATAGGAATAATGAAAGCTTTTCTCCAAGCTGGTGAGAAAATATATTCCTTTGGCATCCTATTATAAACAGCGAGAAGGATCGTCAAGGAAAAATGCTTAATAATTAGATAATTAATGCCCTCAAGGACCCAAATTAGTCTTATGTGTCTGTAACAGAACACTCTTTACCTTAAACCTGGTGAAATTCATATTATAGATCCCAGAGTTAGAGGTATCAAACTGAGTTTTCTTTTTCAGATTTAAGTGGATGTTTTGGAGTATCTTCTGGCTCTCTCTAATGCTATTTATAGCAATATCTTTTATACTGCTAACTATTCTACCATCTTTTTTCTAGAATTAAAACCAGGTACTCAATATAGATCCCTCTTGCTTTCCAGACCATCTCCCACACTTGTTTGATTGGTGTAGAAGATGTTATTTCACAAATGAAAGATAACTACGAATTCTGACTGTGCCAGCATACTCTCCATGCCTCAACTTTTGCCTCTATGAAGGCTCAGTTTAGTCATGCTAGGGTAACATCGAAAGGTCATGGTAAGGTAATATACTCTGTTGTCTGTGAGATTCCTTATATTTTCTGCTCTACCATGGTTTGGGTACTACTGCCAGATCTGTAGCATCTGTGACATAAGTAACTGCTCTGTCAAACAAGTTGTTGCTCACCACTTTTTTCTGTGAACAAGGCACAAAGAGCAAAAAGATCCTGCTCAATCTGGTAAAAATCTTAGAGGTCTGGAAACCCATTAAGAGAAATGAAGAGTGGGCAGTGATCATCATTCAGTCCCTACACTACAGGGGGGATGGGTAGCAAATGGCCAGATAAATGGCATAGAATGTTCTTAAACCCTGGTGAAAATAAGTGCTGTCACTATTATTTAGCAAATCAAGACACTGATCTTCTAAACTTTGTATTTGCTTTTCACAAAAGTGTCTCTGCTGCCCCCAAAAGGATTGTGCCTGTTAAAAATCACCAACAAGTATGCAAGGTAATCTGTCCAACATGATCATTAAAGTAACTTTGATGCTTTCATCTGGTGGCAAATAAAATGGAGAAATTGTGATCAGCATGCTTATGTCTACCGAAACAGTAAATACCTCGATGCAGGTTTGCAGCTATAAGGCAATCAAATGCTACCACTGAGTGGTTAGCAGACCAGTATCAAGCAGAAGCTACATTATTCATGTCATCACCTCTGAAGCTTAATTTTCTTATCAGGTTTTAAGAACATCTCTTGCACAACAAAGCAAGCAGGATAGTGGATATCAATTACGTTCTTTATACTATCAAAAACCTTGGTGGAAATTGTAGCAGTTCAACAATATTAGGATAGTCATCAAGAATGTTTATGTCACGGTTGATGCTGCTTCGTTTGACGAGGAAGGAGATTTTGGGCAAATTCCAATCCTCCTTCAATTTCCCTATTCTCAGAGTCCAATTCATCAGATAACATGCTCTCAAAAGAGCTTTGTCTGATATTCCTACGATTTTGAATGCTTAATTTGCTTTGTAATTTTTCTAGATTTAAAGACGTTTTTATCTTTGGTTTCATGACAAACATCATTTCTGGTTTCAAATGCAGTACTATTTTTCTATGACATTTGTGTGGTTTCTTTATAATGTGCTATCAACTGTTTGTATGCCAAGTGACTTTAATGATTTTACAGCAGCAGTAGCGTAAGATTATTTGAAAGTGTCTGTGTGTAATTCAGAAACCTCCTAGCTGTGGGATACGGTACACTTTTGGTTAGTTTGGCACACATTTTTTTAGCACAGAAGTCTTTTTGGTTATTTTGGTACCAAAATACTTTTGGTTATTTTGATACCAAAAATTCAAGATTATGTGCATAATAAAAGATAAGATAAAGAAATCTGAAATTTATTTTTCTTCCATTATGAACATGACCTTGAATATGCCAGATGATCTCTGCAATTTACAGCTTATCCAGAACAGTGTATTAACACAATGATCAGCCTCATGAGCTAACTTGCGAGCACTTTGAACGCATCACAGTGCCATGGAATGAAGTTTTCAAATGCCCAAATCTCTGACATTAAAAACACTGTATTAGATTGTGATCATATGATTTTACTGGGTTATGCAGATAGACTGCTTTGATGAAATTTGGCATATATCTGAAGTTTGAATGCCTGGGTATGTGCTTTGTATCAATAAATTCATCATATTTTTATTCATTTTGCATGGCAGATACATTGAGCTTTTAAGTCTTCAACTATTTCTCTCTCTATTATTGTAAGAGGTTCCAATATTACCCCTCAAGAAAAATTTTAGTCATAAGGAAAGTTTGTGATTTTCATGGTTCCAAAACATGTAATTTTTGATAGCTAAATAGACTGTTAAGCATTTCTAGTTTCAACTAAGAAGGCACCACTATGGAGTTTCTTGATCTATCCAAAAGTTCATCAATGGCAGATATCACACTTATTTATTAGGAAACCCCCTACTTTCACTGCTAATCTCTAAAAATCTATAATTTTCCATTGTTTCATTTGCATTCCACTTTGCTCTATATTTTTTAAGAAGCGATATATTGAAAACATTACTTGAATTTTGTGTAAGAGCCATTTCTGGGATAGTAAATGATTCAGACCCAATGGTCTTGCTCACCAGAGAGTCCAACAAGGGGATACAGATCCCAGCCTCATGGCTAACCAAGTCTATACACAAAATAAAGCCCCATAGTCAGCTTTCTCAAAAGTGGGAACTTTCACACCTTTAACTCCAAGCCATCGACACTAAGAACTAATGACCACCTGACTGAAATTAGCAGGGGCAACTATGTGCTTCCCATCTGAAATAAAGTAGAGTTAAGAAGCGTACTGGGGACAATACTTCGGCCTTCAACTATCATTTCTCACCATGTTAAGCCAGACACAAAACGTTTAACTGCATCTCACAGTCAGGCTCATCTTTAAAAGAGGAAACTACAAAGGAAAAAGGAAGGAAAAAGTAATAGTTTGGGGAAGGGGGAAAGCAAAGAGGAAAGATTACTAGGGCTCTCGTATTATGAAAAAAAAAATTCAAGGGTCTGAAGGGTCTCTGTCTGCTATGCTTTAGCTGAGCACACTGGGATAGCCTTCACGCCTAGGGTGGCCTTACCAGAGCTAGATTCTGAGTATACTTTGCCCATTCCACTCAGTGAAACACACACCCTGCCACAAATAAAGTATAGGAAGACTGGGAGGGATATGGCAGCTACTGAAAGAAAAAATGTAGTGAAAGCTAAAAACTTTTATTTACACCTCAAGTTAGAAATACCTCAGATAAGAACAAATTACTGGATCATGAATCCCTGAGACTATCACAAACAGTTACAGGAGCACTTTGCAAGACCCGTCATTTCAGTTTCACAAGATTGATTTGGTTTATATGATTGTGGCAGAGAATGCAAGGGCTATCTCACTA